CTTGGAGTAAGCACCGTGGCGAGAGGGTGCTCGAGTTTCAGTAAATGTAGCAGAAGTTTTTATTTCAGATTATCACCACTCTGCTTTCTGTTGGGCTGTTTTCATCCTGCTCAAGCCATGAAGGAAGGGGCCAATTTTGTAGACACTCAGCTAGTTCTGAACTTTGGCAAGGATGCGTGCTGCCAACTATGGCACGGCCACCAGAACGAGGACATTATTAATCCTCAACGGGATGGAAATAAACTCTTTTTCTGCTCCTCTTTACCTGTAGACACAGGCAGATTCAAATTCAGCTCTTGATTTTTAATATGATGTGAGTAATCCATCCAAATGAAAGGAATTTATTTTATACAAATAGGTGATAGTTATTTGCCAGCTTGAAGTAAATAAGAATCCATCTGTGTTTTATAACTGCTATCCAGAGATCTAAGCAGCCGGTCAGACCAGCGAGTCCCTGGCAGCTCAAATCTGTGTTAAAAGATTTCAAGGTGTAAAGAACACTGTTTGTTTACTAACCTTTTGGTTATTCTAGTCATGTTGCAACTGCCTGGTGATGTTGTTAAGACCCTTTTCCATGCTTTTTCAGGCCAATAAATTTTTTTCCAAAGCTTTAGTCATCCCTGTTCAGTAGCATGTTTGTATCTACTTTATCACACTGAAAATCTGTCTGTTTTGAAAGGATTACAATTCTGCACATCAGTGCATGACATCACACTGAGACATTGCTTAATGATCTGAGACTCCGATGGTCATTGCTGCGGCTGCTTGTTTCTGGAAATATGTGACAGCTCTGGCCTATCTAAGCCTTGCTTACTGTTGCATTTTTAGCCCATGCTGGCGGGTGTGTGTTTTAAAGCAGCGCTCACAAAATAGCTGATTGTGAAATGTGCCATCTGCAGATGGGAGGCAATAGGGCGCCAAGTAGAGATGCAGTACAAGGAAGCCCAGCCACTTTGCAACCCAAGTTAACTTTGGCCCTCAAAGCCTTTCCTTGATTTTTATTTCTTTTAAGAACATTTAACAATGAGAGCACTTGGAAAGAAGAACATCACTTGGCATCTGATGCTAGGAGGTGCTAATTGCCTTCCATAAGTTCACAGTCATCCTGTAATTAAGTAGGCATAGGGAAAGGCTGTCTGGGCAACCTGTGGTTACTGTAAAGAGTTGTAATTCCAGTTTTGCTAAAAAGTTTAAAACTAGCATAGGTCAAATCTTCAATAAACTTTGGATGGATTTCAAGTTAAACTCCTTCCTTCCTGCTAGTAGTCCTGAATTCTTTGAGGTGAATTTGCCTTCAGATTTTCAGTTCATTTGAATGAAAAACTCAAACAAAACATGGTGCATTTAATTAAACTTTTGAGGACTTGCGCCATACATCTGCAAAAGTCAAAAGGGAATTTAAGCAGCAGGAACACCTGCAGCCCTGCATCCTAGTAGTCTGTTGATATGACCCTACCTCTTTTGGATGAATTAATCCAATAAGTCAAAATTCATTTTGCTTTAGACTGGCTAAGGACTCTTCACACTGGATATAGTTTGTTTAGATCTGTCCCAAGGGATAATGATGTGACTGACATAAAGAGTTGTAGATAAAACAGAACATCTCAGGACCTGAAAAGGAATGAAGTTAGGTCTGCACTTTTAGGTTTGCACTCCAAAACTTTACTTGTGACAGTTTTTTGTTGTGATTATGACAGTATTTGTTGTGATACTACTTTTGGAAGTAGTGATTGTTGGCTGGGGGTCGAATGAGATACCAAGCGGGTGTGCCAAGTGTTCCCAGAGTGCAGTGGGAGTGCAGTGGGAGACATAAAAAACACAGCAAAAAAGCACTGATGATAAAATTAACTGGATGAAGAGAGGCGTGAAAAGAAATGGGAGACAGCATGACAGGCCAGGACGGAGATGTGCAAGCCTTCGCTGGTGCAAAAGTTAGGGCAGCTGAATAATTTCACCTAGAGAATCAGAACAAGGTTGAGAAAAAAATGCAAACAAAAGGAAGCCATTGTGAGATATAGTCTAAACCCTCAACTAATCTTTTCTTAAAAGTATTTTAGCCCCTCCTTAGCTGCCTGCCTTTTCCCTTTTCCTCTTCTAAATAAAAATGTTTAATTTTTTTTTTATTATTATAAAACCGCTGACTTGACCTCACTTTCTGTGTCTCACAGACTTTTTGAGCACAAAGAAGTTTGAGTAGATACAAGAGTGGTTTTGTCTTTTAATTTAGCTCTTTTTTTTCTGTGAAATAGTCCTTTTTTATAATTCACTTCTTTTGCAATTTTCTAAATTTGGGTCATGTCCCTTGCTTTTCAGATAAAATAGAAATATTGTTAAAAGATTTATCTTCTCTGCCATATCAAACCTTTTAATAACTTTGAATAACTTTTCTTAAATCTTTTCTGCCATTATCAAACCTTTTAATAACTTTGAATAACTTTTCTTATATCAGCTTGACTTCTTTTTTCTTTTCTTTTCTTTTCTTTTTCTTTTCTTTTTCTTTTCTTTTTCTTTTTTTTTTTGTCATTAGAATAAGTTCTTCTTAGGTCTGGAGACAAGGTAATCATAAATCCCAGGATCCTCCTTGTCCTTTGTTGTTCCATCTCTGCAATGTAAAGGGTGTCAGATTCATGTCTGTGATGTTCGGGAGGATTGGCTTCATGGCATGGACGCTATGCATTTGCTTGCTGTTCCTCTGTTGCTGTAATTGTTTTAATGAATAACAATCACAAAATGTGCAGAAGTCCTCAGATCTGTAGTAAGCCTTCCAGTAGCCCGTTTTGGGGCTGGTAGAGTGTGTCTGTTCCTTATAATGCACAGTGCAGTACTTTTGGGGTTTACCTTCTGTTTTTCTTTGCCATTGGATAATTGCTCCAGTGTCACTTTTGCTCTGTGATCCTTTACAGTTTGAAACAACTTTGATTAAGGAAGGCTGATTATTTACCAATCATCTTGAGTAGTTCAAGGTGTTTACGTACGGTGCTTTCCTAATAATTTTGCATCGAAGTTCAATGGCATTTCTCTTTCAAACATATGTTCTTATACCTGAAATACTAATACTTAAAGTATTTTGCTACATTGAAGTGCAATTTATCTTACAGAAAACACTGTCTGTGTAGAAAGTATTGGACTACTTGTTTGTTAGATTAACAATACCAGTTTTAAAAATCAACAGACCATTTAAAAGTATTTTGTATATCTTGTACTGGCTTGTGATGATTACATTTAAAATGTGCACTATATAGCAATGCATGGGAAAAAAACCAAGTGGTTGTACAGTAAAGCAGGGCAGAATTTGACAATAAAGAATAAATTTATATAACATAAAACTGCAAATGGAGATAAGCTGTTCCACAAAATTAAGTTGAATTAAGGAAATAGAATTAGCAACACACCTACAATGAAGTGGAAATTTTGAAAATGCCACAATGTTTCATTTCCACCTGTTCTAAATAAAGCGCTCTTTAACTGTACGTTTCAAAATGGCAATTTGCACATAGAAGTTGACCTACCCTACAAATAAAGCATTTCTTAAAGCTCCCGTTTGCAAAAAAATGAAAGAACACACTTCTCTAAATTCCTTCCTTTTCTTTGCCTTTGGTTTCAAAGAAAAGAAAAAGAAAACCAAACCTCTTCAAAAATTAGCCTTTGCTAGAACCGTGCTAATTTTTTCTGTTTGACCAACTAAGCTCCATTTAATGGCACTGAAAAGAGTGGGAGGTAACATCTCAAACACCTACAGCCTCCAATCCACTGCACCTACCAGTCCCAAAAGACGTGGAAAGCAGTCACAAATGGACTCCAGAATCGCCTCTTTTCATATGAGAGAAGACATGGGATATAAATTCACTGTGTTTTATTGTACCCTGTGTCCAAGAACAGGAATCTATGGAATTGTTCTCCCTTGTGTCCCTGCAGATTTCTCTTTTGAAACAAAGTAATAGCTGACCATTCCTCATCAGCTCTTTTGAAATAAACAATGAAATGCACAGCTTAAGAAGGCCATAGTAAGAGATTAAAATGCTTCTGGTTAGTCTTGATATAACATATTTGTTTGTCAGGCTTCCTGTGATTTCCACATTAACATGTTTGAAATACGGTGGGGGTTGTAGGGGTCAGGTACGAGCCGCACAGCTGGAAAAACGGCAGCGAGATTAATAAATACCCACTTTCCCTCTGCCCCGTGAAATAAGCCATTCCTGTGCATATTTCATTATGGTATCACATAAACCAGCGCTACGGAGAGCGGATTACGTGCGATAGGCGTTGTGGAAAAACTGATGGGTTTGAAGAATTCAAGGTTTTGGGTGTGATGTTACATAGCGGTACCTCCGGGGCTGAGCCCTCTCCAGCCCACCGGCATCCATGGGGCATCAGCCAGCGCTGGTCTGCTGCCCGAATGCGTTCCTGCGTACAGCCCTGTCAAATGGATTGCTTTTTACTGGCCCCCAAGCCTTTTAATGCTTTCAGACTGATCAGTTTAAAAGACTTGTTAAAAACAGAACTAAGGGATGACAAGCTCTTATTGATTGGGGAAAATAATCAAATTTTGTATAGGTAGGGCCTTCAGGCTTTGTAATGAATTTGATGTGAATAAAGATCTGACAGTACTACAGTTTATTGATTGGGAAAAGTATCTTTCATGCTTATGCAGTAGCAGAGATCATTAGGACTTTTCTCTTAATTTCCCTTTATGTTAAGTCTGACACTAGTGCATATTTTCCTCTTCATTTCTAGGATTAGCATAGAGTGAAAAGATGCCAGCAACTTTTGATGACTTTTAGGAATGGCCTCATTCGTCTTATCCTTGCACTATATGGAGTTTCTTTCTAAGTCAAACAGCATTGATCATCTTTAAAAAACTAAAGATCTTTGTACTAAACGCTTGGAAATTATTTTTAAGTCTGTACTCCTGCACTGCAGTAGCAGTCCCTTGCTAAGAAATTACAGTCACAGGTGGCAGTTCCTAAGGATATTGATCATGTCCATCCTCCCTCTTTTAGCAACAGATCAACCCCTAACAATCATGACCGGATACAGCGCCTGAGACAAGAGTTTCAGCAAGCAAAGCAAGATGAGGACGTGGAAGACAGGAGACGTACTTACAGTTTTGAGCAGCCATGGGTAAGTCTACGGAGTCCCTCACATCTGGAAAGGTTCCCTAACTCCCACTGTCCCTGGGCTGGTCCGGGGCAAAGCAATAGGGACGCAGGGTCCTGGGCCTCCAGACTCTGCCCTTTCCGTTATCCCCATTATTAGTTCATTGATGTTTATTTCATTTTTAAATTTCTTCAGCCATCTGTCCTGTGTGCATATAGCATTATTTGCTCTGTGTTTAGGCCCTCAATTCTGAGAGTTACTACTTGGATTTTTTTTGCCTCAAAGGCAGTATCAATTATTCTGAAATTTTCTAGGAAAATCAGAATAAAACACATGCTAACGATAAATAATTTAGAGAGCACATGTAACCTTGTAAATGGTATTTTCTCTGAAGCAATATCACTGTGATTAGTTCTTTTCCTTAAGAGGAAGAGCTATGTATTTTCACAGTAAAAAAGGAGAGATATGCATAATAGCATGCTTCACAGTAGTACCCCTTTGCCACTTATATTAGCCAAGACAGTTCTGTCTCGAGATATACGTCCTAATTGATCATTTAAATCCTGTTCAATCCGATCTAGCGATGTGATACAATTATGTAAATCCATGTGCTTATCTTGTTTAACATAATTGAATGAATCAGTGTTGCTTTTTAATCAATTAGGATCCTAAATTAAGAGCCTTTAAATATGGGACAAATATTTTATTGTATTTTTATTTAAAATTGCACAATAAAGACAGTGAACAATTTGCTTGCGTTCCCAAAAAAGTGGGAACTGTATGATGAGAGCAGTAGAATCTCTCACAGCTTCCTCCGAAGCGGGTTTAGGTGGTGGGTTGTCGTTACGTAGCATTACGATGCACACGAGACCGAGGTGGAAATAGCTGAAGATCAGCATCTGTGTGTACGAAGTCAATGAGAACAACCTAGGTAACATCATAATGCATATGACATCTTTGGTTGCCTGGTGTGGTGGATGTAGAAGATTTTTTTACTTTTGTTGGCTCTTTGTGTCCTTGTCCATCTTAAACTCACCAATTTGAACCTGTGGTATTTTTGACATGCAGCATGGAGAGGAACAAAGGTAAATGTATCCCTAAATGACCTAACACTGCTTAACATACTGTATCAGGATATAAGCTTCTCTTTTCCCATGTTAGAAAACCTCTAACCTTCTCTGAAATTGTATAAATAAAATAAACATTTTTTTATGACCAGATGCTTTCGATTTGATGTGATGAAGATAATGTGATAGCTCATCACAGTTATAGTGTAGCAGTTTTGGGGTGAAAGGGGGCTGGGTGTAGGAGGTACTTTCCATTATGCATATCAACTGCTGTTTAGGCTCCAAATGAGAGATTTGAGCAGCATTCTTGGGAAAACTGTGTATGAGAAAAACTTGCACTCTTGAAGACTTGGGAACTTAACTACCGAAGGTCATGGGCCAAATTGTTGTATATCTAAATGCCATAGCAACTTTAGACAGGCAACTTGGCTTTTATTATAGTTTCTTATAATGAGCGAGGAGGGAATTATTTGGATGACAGGCTGATTACCTTAGGAATGGAATAATTTCCTAAATTGTGGGTCAGAACACTGACCTTTCTTTTTCTCTTATTCAAACAAATGGGATCTCTCTGTTTACTCCCCTTCTACGGATCATGCAAATGAGCTCAAAGTGACTAATTCAGCTTAATGTATTAATATTAATTCTGAAGCTTATTTTTGCTTTTGTAGGAGCTGCTCTGTTGTTAAATACATAGTTGACCAAATGTTTTATTTTAGATATGTACTTTAAAAAAAATTGGCCCAGGGTATTTTTGAATTATAATTTTCTTTTTTTCCATCGTGCACTCCAGCCTTTCAAGATCACAATGCTTGGAAAGGATAAAGCAATGATCTCATCCATTTCAGCAGTTCACAGTCATTTCGGTGTTAAGGAGCCATAACCCTCTCTCTTAAGGAGTGTGTATTACTTTAACATATTAGTATAAAATGATGGACTTTGTTAAGACGCCCTCTCAAAACAGATCCAGATGTATTATTAAATACCAGTGACACAAAAAAATGCAAAAGTGGTTTATAATACGTATGCAGGAAAATACTTGGATACATTCATCAACGTCTTTTCAGTCTTCTCCATCTGTAAGCTGTTGGTTACAAACCACAGCAGTGAAAAGTGCACCTGTATGTGGACAATTGTTGAAAAGTGTGTTTTCACCTGAGGGAGATGGCTTGCGCAGCCTACACAAACAAAAGGCTTTACATCCAGGGATGCTTGTGAGCCACATGACAGCAGCCAACTCTGACCTGATTTGGATAAAAAGAGAGAAAAAAAAAAATCCACGGAGAAGTGTGTGCTATGAGGTGACAAGTAGTTTGCATTTCTCATTAACAAGATGATGGGAGGGTTGAGGGTAGGGAACAAAGTGCTGATGTGATGTGGGACTATTGGTTACTTTAAGGAAGTGTAAATGAACGCAAAGTTTGCAGTGTAAGTAATGGATGCTGACGGAAATCTGGCAGCTCTGAGGATATTCAGAGGAGCTCAATAGCTCACAAACCCTCTAATATATTATCAAAACGATCCTGTGAACGTCACCAACTCCAATCCATCCCAGACCATTAATGGCCTGTGACAGAGAAGTCTGGTTACCCGTGACAAATACCTTCAGTCTCCTCCACGGGTTGGAGGCAGACCTCCGTACCATGGAGCACTACATCACGCTGGCTCTGAATGATACCCGTGGCAGAGAGACCGGCGCCTGACCCCGTCCCTTTCTGGCTGTTCCCATCAGGTGAAGGTTATTTCTCTGTAGATGAGCAATGCGACAGAGCTGGACTTCTTGCCTGGCTGTGGTTGCCCTGCCAGTAAACAAAATACTTGACTGCCTACAAGTGTTCATACAGCATCAGGCAGCTTAACAGACAGAAAAAGTGATAGCGCTGGAATGAGATGACACCGGCTATTAAGCTGGGTAACGGTTCTGCTCAAGGCCGTTTGAATGACACACTGTTAAGGTTTAATAACCAACTAACTGTCGCAACATCGAGCCATCTCTAAAACCCACTAGTTCTGCAATTGAGTCAAAGCTTTCTGGAAAAGGTTTTCGCATTTGTTTATTTTAAGATAACTTTCTCAGGCTTCATAATTTTTTTCTCTTACGTGGCTTTTTTATTTTTCTTGTTTCAAAAAACAAGGTACAAGAGGGTGTCAAGGGCAATACCGTATGCCTGATGTTACATGGGGGAAAAAAAAGAAAAATAACATAAAGTATGATTAATCCATTTTCATGCTGCTGGTGTTAATTCCAGTCAGAGTTTGCAGAAATGTGTAACTGGGCATGTAGAATTGCATGGAATCACAGTATGTCTGCTAATATTTAAGACCCTTGCTGTTGCTATGACATTTTTATACTAATGCAGGATTCTTTTGGGGCTGATTTTTCTGTTCGGTGCCAAAGTTGAGTCTCTAGTTTTTGTTCTTTTCTGGATGGTACTGGGTCTGCTGAGGTTTATCCTTGCTTGCACCAGTCCTGGGCTTTGGGGTATTTTGGTTGTAAATTGTTCCATATCTTGTATTTTTGCCTAGTCACATCTTAATTAACAGATCCCCACCTTCAATAACAAAAACACAGCATTATGGCCCTAAATGTCATGGGAGTGAACAATCCAATTAAAAAAAGAGCATATTAAATCTGTTGAAAACATTACAACTGCTTGCCAGTCCTGCTTGTAGAAGCACACCGACTATCAAAAAACTCTACAAAGATGCAGCAGGGACAAAACTTGGTGATTTATTTCTTCATCTTTAATAAAAAAAATCAGTGCTAAAAATGGAAAGTGGCAAATTTCATTAGAAATACATTCTTCTCCAGTCATCCTGGATCTATTTGGATGGTGGGAGAAAATTGGCATCGAGAGAGCAGCTGAGCAAACTCTACTTTAAATATTTAGGAATCAAATAAAAAGATTTTTTTTCTAAAGATAACAGCTAACTGGGTCAAAATAAATATACTACCTGACTCATCTGAGTATAGTTTTAATTACATGCACAAATTTGTGAAAGGTAAATAACTGCATGATTTTCATAGAGGAAAGACACCAGAGGTCCAAATTACATACTTAGCATGGCTTGATAGATAAATGCTCAGGAAATGTAGGGACTATGCTTGTTTTTTCTTTTGTGTGTTGATGTGTAGATCTTGTCTCTAAGACAGATTTAAAGAAAAAAAAATTCTTTTTTATCTGTTTATGGTACTCGTATTTTATCCCTGTTCTCGAGCCCTTGACCTATTCATAATGAATATGACCTATACATATGAATTATGACCTATACATAATGAATTCTAAATAACTAAAATTCTTTTAGAAAAACAAAAGCCTGATTTTTATCACTGTAACTTCCACTGTAACACATTTTACCTGGAAAAATGAATAACAGACTATATTCAGAACAAACATTTTAAAGTTTATATCAGGTTGTAAATTATGTAGAATTACTCAACACATTAATGAGAAAGAAAAGTTGTTATGAATCCATCTGAAGAGTCTCTTTCAGGATATTTTATTCAAGATATTAGGCAGTATATCATGGAGCATTGCAGTAGACAAAGAATACCTTAGGAACTAAATTGCTGTTTCTCCTACCCCGATCTGTTTCAGAGAGGAAACCAAAGTTATGCCCGGCAGCCTCTCCACAGGTAGTTTCTTTTCAGTTGCGTAGTTAATATCCATTCTGTGCTAAACCTGTGAAGGATTTAATGAAATACCAGCAATTTCTTGCCAAGATTTAGACTCTGACTTTAAAATTTTATATTTGAAAATTTTTCCCCCACTAGTTTCAATCTACTAATTTATGTGAAACATAAGATTTTAAAAAGAAATGAAATAATTTCAGTTTGTAAACAAACATATTTATAGCTCACAGGCATGCAGTGCATGTGATACCCCAGGCAGAATTTCAGGGCTAAGTGATTTGTTTCTACCATACTGAAGATTTTCTTGCTGCTGCTGCTATACACAGAATGGAAATCTTAGTCCCATACCACGCCATTCAGCTTCCTACATATACATCATAGAAAGATACACAAAGGGATGGGATTTTCTTATTATATGGTGTTTGAATTAATACACACACCTGTTGGCAATTTTTAAAAGAAATAAGAAATACTGCGATACATTCTGTTCACCATAGCAACATAAACAAAAAGATGGAAGTAAAAATAGTTTCCAAGGACATCTCCCAGAACCATTGAATGTTTTTTCTCATTCTGAATTTTGATATACACAGTTACTGGATTGTCTGTCATCTGTGCCAAGTACATTTACACATAAAGCAGGCAAGGTCATTCAGTCTTATCTATTTCTAATTAGTGCTGAACTATAAGAACCACGGACTTTTTGGGGGGCCTTGTGTACACCAACTTCCCCAGATGAACTTGAAACTTAAACACAGAGCTTAATCTGGAAAAAAATTAGTACATTTATTTTAATATTAAATAATGGTCTTTTTTTAATAACTGGGAAAATACTAAGGGACTTTTTCCTTTAGTAGTCTCCCTATTAACCATTTCTTTATCAGCACAAAGGAGTTCTATGATTTTGAGTCAGTGTTTCTGCCAGCTTCTCCCTATGGCAGTAGGCTGTGAGATAGGTGTGTCACCTCAACTGGTGGATCTCCTGTTGCCTGAACTGGTTGGATCTCCCTGAAAGTCCAGTGCCCTGGATCACCCCCATGATCTCCTCTCTCTAATTCTGTGGCATCTTCGATCCGTGCCTGTCCTGGAGTATCCATGCTGCCACCACGCTGAGCTACCCTCGGTGGGCAGAAATGCCACTCTGCAGGGAAGGAAACTGTGTGGGCAGCCACTGGCATAGCTAGGAAAGAGAAGAGGGACCTTTACCCTTAAAACATGCTGCCTTTTACTGCTGATAGTGGTCAGTGCAACATCAGCCATGGGTACATTTTGTGTAAAATGAAAAAATGTTGTTTGGATAAAGTGAGAAATATGTAGAAACTTTTAACTTTGCAGCCCTCATTTTAAATTAATGTCGCTTTGAGAAGTGAGCCGTGTAATTTCATGTATCTTAAAGCACAATTTTACGTGCTGAATATTGTTTAACAATGCTGAATGCAATAACTATCATTGCCACTTAAATGTATTGTGGAAGACATGAACATACATTTATTTGTATAGCGCAGCCTTGGTTGTTATTGTGGCCTTGACTGCATCCTGATTTAAAAGGTCAGTGCTTGTCATACATCTCATTGCAAACAAGGCCAGAGTTCTTATCAATCTGTACTGTGAAGACCGAGCTGTTGCGAGGTTTGTTGGGTGATTTCAGGTTGTTATAATTGTACTTAGCCTTGTGTTGATATCAGTGTTAAAATTACTGTGTTACATGTATGCCTTATACATGGTTTTTTGTTGCTGTTGAAAGATGTGAAAATAGTTCAGCTTTTTTTTTTTTAATTACCTCCATTTTGTGCTGATATGAATGGAGTATGCATGCATATAGATGTGTGTTTGTGTGTATATTTTATATAAGTATATATGTATAAGTGTATACTTTGGGAATTGAGACAAAATTACCAATGAGCTTTTGAAGACTAAGGTTACTTATGACATCATAAATATTTTTGGTTTAGATACTTTAATTGAAAGCATATTGAAAAGATAAATCACTGTATGGACATTTGCATTTTTCTGAACAAGTTAAGGGTCCAAAAAGGAATATGTTAAGTCTTTATATCATCATAACCATGTATCAAGGGCATTCACTATGGTATCACTGAAGTTTTTAATGAAAAGATTTGAAAGAAAGGCCTTTCATTAATAAGATGGTTGAGTGTACCTGTCTGTGTGTATATATGTTATGTTATGTTATGGCATATGTGATATTATACAGACAGAGTATTTTTATGTCTCATTGCCATATTTTTGAATGCTTGAAAGCAGATTTGATTATATGAATAGCTTATTGTAGATGTGAACAACATGCAAACAGGACTCTAAATAAGTATCCTTTTCAAATTAGTTAAGTATTGCAAATCCACTTAATTTAACAGGGCATACAGGTACTCATACCTTCAGAAAATCAGATAATGGATTTTAGATGTTTGCCTTTAGACCCATCAAATTATAAATGCTGTCCATTAGATGAAATTCTGTGTGAACTGCCGGAGATCCAGACCTGACTCCTCAGATCCAGTCATTCTGGGCATGCGCTACAGCGGCCAGATGGGCATGATAGCCCCTGCCTCTATTTAACCATTGGTTCCTGTGTGCATTAAAAAAAAATTATCTCTGAAGCTCCGTTTTGATCGTAGTCCATCCGTAGTCCATTAGGGCTTTCAAAGCCTCTGTCTCTTTTGTAAAGGCTTTTGTGGTAACTTCAACTCTCTGCACATGTGTGTGCGTGTACTTGCATTCATGCTTTCTACATGATGCATTTTAGTGTGTTGCATAAACCTAAACTGAGCAGCAGCTTGATTCTAGCTCCACCTGTTTGATAATTTAACCATTCCCTGTGCTGTAAAATCCTTTAATCTGTTATATTTACAATGAACAGAGAAAAGTGAAACTGTGTTTTCAAATAAAGAGAAGCAATTCTGATTTCACGTCTTATCTGTAATAACTACTTTCTCAAATATGACATAATGTAGCTTTCCAATTATATGCAAGCTTTCCAACGTTGTTAAAGTGGAACCCACAAAATGAGGAGATTGACTCTAAAATCTCAGTTTAAATGTGTTTATTCCTTATGGAGAAGTTGAGATGGGAACTTCTAAGTTTCCCTCTGGTTCTCTGTAAGCTGCTTATAACCACACTGGAGAGAATTCACAAATAAATCTTGTGATTTTCAGGTAATCACACGCTTCCGTAAGCTGAGCCCTTCAATAAAATACCAAATGTCAGAAGACTCTCAATAAAGTCAAGAAAGTTAGAAATGTTGACATATGCAATAACTGAAACACTGCTCTGTATGTGTTGCCCTTATTCAATATAGTAGGAGATCTCCATGGGGGTTGTTGGTTTGGACATACATATGTACAGCTTATTCATCTCTAAGAAAATTTCCCACAAGGCTGACACACGATTCTGTTTTCTCAACTTGTTGCTTCATCATACCATTCCTAAAGCATTTTTCATTACAAATACTGTTTTACTGAAGTTTTTACAGAGTAAATCTATTCTGAAGTAGACATCAATGTTGCATTAAGGATTCTCTTAAATAAATTCTCTGTTACTCATAGTCTATGCTTTTACGTTCTGAGTCTTTTGCACAATAATCTTCTTGTAAGGGGAAAGGCAGTTGTTCATCAAATTGTATCTATCTGTTAAATTCTGAGCTGAGACTGATGCTCTGTCTGAAGTGTATTGTTATTGAAAATGAAGTTTCTGAAAGTTGTACACCTGTTTCAAATTTGTGGTGTTTCTGGCCACCTGTAGGTACTTGACTACATAGTAAGACAAAGGAGAAGTTTGTCACAAATGACAACTTTCTAGTTTCTAAAACTTGTCTTCAATGTAAGAAACTTTTGAAAAGTCTTTTATCTTGCAGGTATTTGTCAACCATTATGATATCTTTCTGCTGCCGAAATTATAACGGCAAAAAACAAAAGAGATGTTCATTTTGAGGGAAGGCACAGATAAAAAGGCAGAAAGTGTTTGAACAAAAGCAGGTCTGAGACAAGCTGTTTCAGTCCCAGGCTCAGCCAAGTGGTTATGCTCCTAACCTTCCAGTGATTAGACTTACGTGTTTTGAATAGAAGTGGTAATTTTAGGAGAGAAAACAGTGTTCTATTTCTTTGTTAGGTGAAACTTTATTATTAAAACAACAAGAAAAGCCCATAACATTCTTTGACTTTTGTGGCACCCTATTTTGCAACTTGAAATCACAAAATCTGAAGAGAGAAGCAATGTAAAATGAAAAGTAATATGTCTACAAAAGTAAACTTTTTCATAATCCAAAATTTGAATCCAGCCATTCTGCCAGATCTTGACTGGTAATGCTCTGTGTTCCCAGAAAGGCCATCCATTTTCATGTCCTCTTAGTATTGGCCTCAAAGTTTCAAATTGTCACCTCATTAAGATGTTATCTAAAATCCTTCTCAGAGATACAGGATTCCCCATTGTCCACAAGAGACTTGCTAAATTTATCTACTTGATCATATCGAACCAGAAAATGTTTCCCTGTCTCTCAGAAAAGCAAGCGGTGCATGTGTGGACCAACAGCAAAATAGGATGGCTCCACTAAGGGAGAGCATCGCTTGAGCGTACTGGTGAGGTTCAAAAGAGCTGCTGTGCTCCCTCCTCCCTCAGATCCTCAGGGGGGTGTAAAACTTAGCATTACCATGGCTAGGCTAACTTACAGTGTCTGAAGATCTGTTCCACCGACTTAATTTAAATTGCAGTGTACCTATAAAGGCACAACCCATTCTGGACCAATATTTTCCTGATACATCTCAGAAATAGTAGGTCAGAAAAAGAATCTGTAGCACAGAACATTGTTATGGGTAAGAATTTAACATAATTATTATGAAAGAGCTACTTGAACTGCGTGTTGAAACAAATACAACAGTATGTGTACAATAGCAATTTAAATGATAGCCCTTTTGTGGGTATTTTTCTTCTTTTTTAAAGACATTTTCTTTTTCATTTTGTAGCCAGGCACCAAGACGTACTCACAGAGTGGCAGACACTCGGTATCAGTAGAGGTTCAAATGCAGCGGCAGCGGCAAGAAGAAAGAGAGAGTTTCCAACAAGCTCAGCGGCAGTACAGCTCATTACCCAGGTATGGTAACTGTCTGAAGCTATTCAGTGTATATGAGCCTGGAGCTAATTTCGTTTGTGGAAGGAAAATGTTGTACTTAGTGCAGACACTTTTGTTTAGCATTGATATAAGGTGGAATGTATTCAGTGTGGAAGAGGCATGAAATTTCTTAAGTGAGAGCATGTGGTAGCTATTTATTTTAGGAGAATTACTTCAGAGCTGATTTCGGTGAGATTTGATAACACTCAGCACCCAACAGAATTGAGACATTAAAACAAAGCTATTCTTTGTGGGACACCATCCAGTTTAATTTTCTGCAATTACAAAAGTCTCCTGAGCATGACATGGGTTGTCCCCTTTTGACATGTCAGACTATTTTTTTTCTCTTGCCTAATTCCTTAGTGGATAGAAATTCTATCTTTGTGATGCTGATACAGAGAAGAAACTTAAAAGGAAAAAAAAAATCTCAAGATCTCAAACAAAAGAATATGGAACTATCAAAAAAATCCGGGGCCTCCAAGTTTCCAGTATATACATATCTTCTAAGTAACTGGGTCATTAGCAATGGAATACTGAAAATTAATACACTTTTTGTCTAAACAAATCTTAGTTTTTTTTAAAAAATTAGATGTTTGGGCAAAATGTCTTTTACTTGATATTTAGCTTTAAGAATTATTAGAAGTTTACCCAACTTGTATTGTAAGTTAGATGGCTATCGTAGTTAAGCATTATGCAAATAGTCTTTGCATTTTCAAATATCAGTGGCAATGGTTGAATGGAGAATCCTTTACACTGGAGGTTGGTGTGAATTTCCCTTGATTCTAGTTGTTTCTTCCAATAAGGTTGTATTATTTTTTGTGCCCCATGTGAAAATGGTGTGGAAAATATATTTTTGTGACAACATGTGTTTTACCAAGTGTATCATAACTCTGTTTTTGAAACAAATAGAAGCTTCATAATCAAAGTTATCTAATCATGAACTCTTATCCTACCAACATCTTTGAAAATAAAACAGATCTCTCAGATTTTCACATGCTCAGATTTTCAAATTCAGTGTAGAATTTTTCTGTTAAGTTTGGAAGGTGGAAATGGAAAATGTAAAGATACTGTGTATTCTTAGATTGTTAGTTTGTCATTTTGAAAATCTTTATGTTCCCTTTGCTTCGTATCTCTACCTTCCTTCTGAAGTGACCACACCTGTTAATGCCATATTGTTTTTCCTGAGAAATTCTCTTTCAGTTTTGCTAGACCCAGCAATGCACAGATTGAGTGGAAGAGCACGGATGCTAGTGTTGCTTTTAAGTTAGGGGGGTTATTTTTAGTTTTAAAACTATGATTCTTAAAACTCGCCTCCCCTGTTCTGCTCAATCACTGGTAGCATTCAAAAGTTGGAAGTCAATTGTAATGCAGTTCCAGTGGCAGAAATTAATGCCTGTAAGGAGAAAATTAATCTACAAGAAATTTGGAAAATAATGTTTTGGGTCATAGAAATGCTTGTTTTGAAAAGAGTTACTGAGAACTTCACTCAATGTGGTTTTCAACATGAGAAATGACTAGCAAGCTAGCAATGCATGTTACTGAGTAATTAATGATAATTTAATGACTTTGAGCACTCTGGGTATTTGAGCTGAGAGCAGACAGCATTTCAGGACCCTGGGCTAAAGTTGAGTGCTGTAAATACCACGATACTCCTATAACAAGCTGTGACATCCAGTTCTCCAGCTTTACAAACTGTTTGTAACTCTGTGACTGATCTTTAAAGAAATCTTACTCTTACTCTGAAACTTAGGTCCCAAGCTTAATGTTGCAACTATGGCTTTGTAATGATTAAAGTTTGTGCACTGGCTTCATTCTTTGTTGCTTTTCATCTTGTATAGTCTCTAGGTGCCTCCTTTTTTTTTCCCTTTGTACATTTAAATCATTAGTACTGAAGGCAAATAAACTCTTGAGTCAATTTTAAAGGATCTTCCCAGAAAGACAGTGAAAGTGGGCCAACTAATTTTGAAAAAGTACCAGAAAACAGTCAGTAAATTAAATCAGTTCATCTAGTCATCCTCTTGTCCCATGTGAAACTGTAAAAACAATGTTTAGCTCCAAGTTCATTTTCTAGTACTTAAAATTTATCTTGCTCTAGATCAGAAACCTGACAGTTTCGTAGCCCACAGAGGTTCGTTCAATTTGCTGTTGTTCCAGGGAGTGATAAAACATGGCTCAGAAACATCATTTCTTTGGCAAAGTTGGTTATGTGAATACCAAGAACAGCTATAAAAATTTGCATAAGAATTTACATTATGTTGTAATTTATGCTGTAATAATTTACATTTATCCTGACTAACAATTTTCATCCAGAGGTCTCAAAATCTATTATGAAATAAGGTTGGTATGGTCATTTTCAAATTATATGTGTGGAAGGAAGATTGCAAAAACATTGGGTGACTTGTTACTTTTACTAATGGTAGAAAAATTCTCTGGGTCTCCTGTCTCTCCACTGCATATTCATTGGATGAGGCCACATTGACATGAAAAACCAAGCCATATATAAACAACTAAATTATTTTCTTATTGATTAATGTTGCAATATATTTCATTGTACTGCTTGATTCTCGTACACTAATTTTAATCTCAAAATGGGTATCTCTTTTGCTGCAGCACAAAATTGTTTTACTTTATCATCACCAATCTTATTTTAAATTCATAAAAGCATCTAGCAGCTTGATAGTGAATTAAAGCTATTTCAAAGCCATAATCTGTCTTCAAAATAATGTGATGATTTATCGTGAAAAGAGATAAGAATTTGTAATTCCTATATGTATTTGATTTATTTATCTACCCCATGGAGCCAAAAAATGAGCAAGAAAGGTTATCTCTGCCTTTTCTTTTATGAAAGCTATAGCAAACTGGGAAACAGTCCTGATAGCACAAAATTCCTTAGTTCTGGAAATGGGAGGAAGAAGCTCTCATCTGTGCAACTACCTATCAATAATGAGCTTTATCTTCTGACTTGTGCAGTGTTAGAGCAAGTGTTTTAAAGATCTGCCTGTTGCATTTTTAATCAAGTGTGAGTCTAGATTCGAATCTTTCATGAGTGACTTTCCAAGTGCTGACTGTTATCTGGTTTCTTACGAAGCACAGCAATTTGTATGGTCTTTCCTAGTCTGCAACTGAATTGTAGCACTTTTTTGTTAAGAACATGATGGTTGTTGTAGCACTGGATGGGTTTTCATGGCATATTCTTCCTGGAGAGGTCTAGAAATATAGTTCAACTCTACAGGAAATGTTCTCCCAACAAAAGAGGCAAGATGCCTCTTTGGGGCAGAAGGGAACATGACTTGTGGAGAATACTATAGATGGGGGAAACCTGATGGCATTGCAGAAGCACCCTTCTTTCCAGGGATTGTTGTCAATAACAGCAGAAGGGGAACCAGAACATTTGTCTTAAAAGCCTCTTCCATTTTTCTTTCCAGGCAAAGCAGAAAAAACGCCAGTTCTGTATCTCAAGACTCCTGGGAGCAGAGCTATTCCCCTGGTGAAGGATTCCAGACTGCGAAGGAAAATCCCAGATATTCCAGCTACCAGGGATCGAGGAATGGCTATATGGGGGGACATGGCTTCAATGCCAGGGTAATGCTAGAAACACAAGAACTGCTCCGTCAAGAGCAGAGGCGGAAAGAACAACAACTGAAAAAAAAAACTTCTTCTGAAGGGCCTAGCAACTATGACTCATATAAGAAAATTCAGGACCCTAATTATACACCTCCTAAAGGTCCTTTCAGGCAAGATGTACCGCCTTCACCATCTCAGGTAGCGAGGCTGAACAGATTGCAAACACCAGAAAAGGGAAGACCATTTTATTCTTGAGGTGAAGAAAATGAAGATCAACTTATCATGCAATAAGGAACACTTTCATATAAAGAATTACGTTTTGAAAACTTTTTAAACTGATGGTACTAAGGAATATATCCGTTGTCTGTTTCAGTGCCTTTAAAAATACGGGCAAAGCATTGGTGGGCCTTATGTCTTTGCCGTTCTGTCTCAAGTGTTGAATTCATGGAAGGATGTTCCACCATTTGACAATCATAGCGGAAGTGAGCAATGCCGCCCCTGCGTACCGAGTCCCGTAGCCCAGTCCAGTAGTTGTCAATGGCTTATTACTAGGATTTGTTGTAATGTGTTTTACTTTGCAGTGACTTATTACACCAACATGCAGCTTTGTGGCATAAAATTAATGAATTTGAGGTTGAAGGAAGAATTGACATGCCCTTTTTTATTTCTCTCGGGTCAGGAGGAGGGTTACATATCACTTTTGAGTGGGTAAGGCTTAGCTCTACTCTGGATCGCAGTCGCAGTTCTAAGATGTTTTATGGTGGAGTCATTACCAGTCTTTGTTGATCAATATTTAAGTGTCTATATGCTGAAAAACTATCCTTCTCCTATTATGCACATATGCACTCTTTTTCTCTCTCCCCACTCTGAGCTTATTAAAAAAGCCTTTATCCTGACTCATGAGGAAAACAATATTAAGCATTCAGTTATCCTGAGAATCCTGTTGCAATTGCCTTATAATCTTAATACACAGTCCATTACAAATGAAATAACTGGAGAGAGACTATTTATACAGTCACAGCCAAGCCCTTGATAAGTATATTTTACTATTTTATTAAAGATGGGAAATTATGAACAAGCATACAGCTGAGTTCTGCTTTGCTTTACTTCTAAATGAATTTGGTCATATGACACGTGTGTCTAGGAAGAGAACTAGGGAGAGGATATCATCCCATGGTCATCTGATAGATGGTTGTCTTTGTTTGGGCAAAGCAAGAGCAGAAGAAGTCAAAGTTTTTCTTTGGATCGAAAAAACTGAAAACAATTTCTTCTTTTTACAATTTGTGAAGCTTTGTGGACAATTGCCTTGTGCTTCCGTATACTGTATTGTTGCATCGTGATGCTACATTAAAAATAAACCTTTAAGTATATGAATGAGAGGTAAGTGGAGACAAACTGTTACACATCATCCTGAAAACATGTCAGTATCCAAAAATAACTAAAGCAAAAAAGATTGCTCTAGCAGTGAGTAATATTTGAATGTGCATATGGGGTATGAGAATTTCTTTTGCAGCAGTTGTTTTTATGTTTGTTGGTCTGAACTTCATGTATTGTAAAAAATATAGCTGGGTTGACTGAAGTGCCTGCAAATCCTGATGTGAAAAGGCTTGAGAATGGATCTCAGCATATCGTGTACAAAAAGGAAAGAAAGAAAGCAAGAAAGAAAATCATGTATTGCGTGATTTTAAAAAACGCCTATTTTTTTTTACTGGCACATTTTTTTTTTGCGCCAACTTGTTTCTAGAATATATGTGAAATATCAGCACACGTATCTGTGTCTTTTATGCCTGTTTGTTAACAGTTTTTGTTGTTAATAATGTACGCCATGTTTAAAAGTTGTTACTAGTGTAAGCACAGTGACATTGGATGACAATAGCTCTTTTACGCAGAATTTACAAAACTGTGTAAAATGGCTTTCCGTGTACATATGAAATTTAGAATAAAAGACTGTTTCCATCCTCGTCTTGGTATTGCCTGTAGACCCTTATGAGAACTGCTGCAGACATGGAGTTTAAAAATATTTAACAGATGTTATTTTATCCTATTCCTAATGGTTTGCGTGTGTCTTTCTGTGAGCGCTTATAAAAATCGGCAAGAAAAAAAAGAAAAGGAAAGATTTACAGCCCAGCTGAACACCTGAAGACTATCCTCAGAGGGAAAAAACACTCAGTCTAATGTCTTATGTTATTTTAGGCCATACCTGTGACATTTAAAAGGTGCATTCTTAAGACTAACCTCTGTGGCAAAAGTCTTTTGGGCCTTAGCACGGAGTCCTCCCCCCGAGGAGAGTGCCGGCAGGAGAAGGGCACCCGCTGTGCTCTGGCCAAATCTGGGCACGTGTGTGTCCTCTGCTCCAAGTGTGTGTTTTGGGCTCTGATGGGAGCACTTCACAGGAATGTTGACATGGTGAAAATGGGAGAAGGCAGATTTATGGATAAAGCAATATTTACAGTGCCAGTGATACTCTGTTTCCCCTATTAGTATTGGAGCTGTGTCTGGTTTTCTCCCTATTCCCCTCATTCCTCCTTTTGTTGGATACGGCAGGAATGTCAATCATAATTCTGTATATGCATGACATCAGGCTGTTGCCATGGCAATAATGGTGTCAAATTATTCACTGTGACTTTAGTGTGGGATCTCAAGGGGAAGAGTAGCAGGAGCTGCAAGGTGGACAGGCAGCTTTTGGTGCCCAAATAAACTAAAGGCATGATTTTGCAAAAGACCTAAATTGTAGCAGCTTGCAGTTGCGAGTGGGGAAATAATTGCATTTGCAGTTTTGCAGGCCTTGCTGTCGTATCTCTTGACTGCGTTCCCAGATTACATAGCTTGATGTTTCGATGGAATTACTTGGACAGGCAAATAATTGCAAGCACTAAAAAATGCATCCACAGGAATGGAAAACAGGTTGAAGTCCTTTTCAAAATAAGGTCTTTGATAAACTGTTGTAGGAAAAAGGGCATATGTTTGGAAGAGTATGAAGTACAGGATGTTTTACGTGTGAGGATGGCATATGTTAAAGTTTACCCTTCTATGAAACTCCTCTTCAAGGTGTTAACAATTTGCCATAATTAGATGTGTTCATGAAAGAAGGCAGATGTTCTCTTTGGGCCATGTCTGTGTTATGTTAGCAGAGAATAAGGTCTTTTTCTGGCTTCGTCATCCTATCCTCTTCCTGACATAGCGTAGACAGGATTTCTAATATTAACTCCCTTAAGTTGCAAAGGGCGATAAGGAAGTGGGAGGGAGATGCTTTAATAGAAAATGACCTTTAGTTCTGCATAGTGAATAGATTCAAAAGTTAATTGAGCTAACTACATTACTGCAGTAATTTGTTTGTGAATGCATTACCATTATGAGATTAACTCTGTAACATTACTGTATTTAAGAATGGTCACAGGACAGACTGTAAGGAAGCTTACAACATCAAGGAGTGGGTGTAAAGCTTACGCATTCTTCTCTGTTGAAACCCTAAAAAAAACATCTGCAAAGCCTCCTGGTATTTTATCAAAGTAATTTGTTAATGCTATTGAAATTCCATGAGAAAGTTTAATATTACTAATGCAGAAGACTGCTGCCTTTCTAAAAAGGCCTGCTTCCCCTCTTCTTATAGGGCCTCCTTGGAAACAAGAGTGCAGCCCCAGTGAGTTATTGCATGGGCCAGATAGTTTAATATATCTCTTTGAGAACTCTGCCATCAAAAACAGCAAAAAATGGCTTAGAGCCCAGCTGAACATGGTCGGAAAGTACAATTGCCATTTATTGCTGGCAAACAGCAGGAAGAACAACAAAACAAAATTTAAACCCATCATGACTGTAGATATATGGCCTGCCTTTCAAAGCTGTGCTGATCTTTCGCTCACGTTCGCTCTGTTTATGAGTGTCTGTAACATTGCATTTATCTGTAGAGAAGGGAAGGGAAGAAACCTTGGCCAGACAAGGAAGAGATGCGCCAGATTAGCAGTGTTGGCTAAACACAGGATATTCTTGAGTAATGCAAACCTTTGAACCTGCGTTGTTGAGACTTAAAGTGAATTTGGCTATTGCGTGTCCTGGCTTGCAAGCCTATTTTCAAAATATTTCCTAATTTTATTTGCTGTGCCTGACTGTTTCTACATCTTTCTCTCCCGAGTCCTCAGTTTCCAGCATAGGAATTGTGAGGAAAATGTCAGGAATGCAAACGCAGAAAAAAACTCATCTATTTTTTTATGCTGCTGTTGTGCCACCACACCCTGGCCTTCCAGACTCAATTTAAAGTTCAGCCCTAACTTGGCAGAGGAAGAGCGAGGGTCAGAAATCCAGGATGGGAGACTGACTTCGGGAAAGTAGGGTTTGTGTGTGTCCATGTACATGAGAGAGAGAGAGAGAGAGGCACAGATTGGATTAGTTTGCCTTTCATGCATGTCCAGCTTGAAACCCTCTTCAAAAAATCTTGTAGCATTTCTTCAGAGTTTTTTCCGTCTGTGCAGAAACCAGCTGATGATTTGATGCACATGGTTATTGTTTCATGCCCTCTCGTACATCTCTTCTATTTTGTATCAGCATCACACTCTCTCTTTTACATCTGCTGATTAATTCTGTTGCATTTATTTGTTTCTCTAAATGACATGCAATTCATTCATATCCTAGGCTGCTTCTTGCCAGTGATTGATATTTCTCTCTTAGCTGTGCAAACTTATTTTAATATTTTTCTGTCCTTGGCAGTGGTGTTATCTTTTGTAATTTACACTTTAATCACATTTTTAAAATTGAGACTGGAAGCTTAAGATGGGATTACACAAAAACAGACTAAGGAATATGGCGTTGATTTCTATTCTGTGTGCAGCGCGCACTTCCCAGGCAGTTGTAGGGACTGCACAGAGTACTGTCTGAATGAGATGAAGAAAAACATCAAGCCCAGGAGCTTTGGAGAAAAAAAAAGTTAAGGAAAGTTTTAAAAATATGTATGCCCACAGCATGCTATCTACTGTGAAAAAAATAATAATTCCTTAGAAGTATTACTCTCTGTCTGAATGGATGATGGTTTCAGAGCTCAGGCAGACGTGACTGTGGTTTAAAGATGGCCGGATGGAAGAGGAAGCTGCTTCCGCCCTTCCAAAGGATGCCAGGACCCTCTTCCCTTGCAAATTGGCTCCCAAAATACTGTTTTCAGCTGCACATCTTGCAGCAACCAAGGTCTGAAATGGGCTTACATTCACACATTGAACTGAAAACTGCAGTGACATCTGTCAGAGAGGGAGGGATGACAGCCACAGGTGATAATAGCTGTGGTTATCCAATTTTAATCCACTTGTTTGTTGGAGTAATCTTTGTC